CTACGCGAAGTTCAGGGTCGCGTTTAGGCTCACGAACGCGAAGTTCGCGTTGGTTGGAGGATCGATTTTCTTGAAGTTGTGCTCGTCGCTGAGACCTTCTTCTTCGACGAACAGCGTTCTTCTTGGCCTGTTTCAAAGCCTTAGCAGCAGCATCGTTGACGTTTATAGAGCTCGTCTCTTTTATAGGCCGTTTAAGGCCTGTGGCACGTCGTGTTGACGCGGAGGTGGGATATTCAACTCGCTGTGCGAGTTCAGCAGAGGTCGAGCCCGCTCCTGGAGCGGAGGGGCTGTTCGACGAGTTTTGGCCAAAGGAGAGGACTTTCTTTGGCGTTCCAGCAACAGTTGGAGATTTAGTCTCCTTGGAAACTTTGTGGATCTTGCGCATAGCCTTGGGGCTAAGGGATACAGAGGAGATAGCCTTCTCAAACTTGGCTTGATCAAACTCTACCACGAGAGTTTCGACGATTGTTCCAGTGAGATGAACATCGGATTACGCCACCACTTCTTCATCAGAGAAGCTACTTCCCAGCGGAGTCGCCATCTTTTGTATGTAGGGGAAAATTGCAATGAAAAGAATAAAGAAAATTGATTTGTATTTCTTTGATTCCGATTACAATGGTGCCTCCCTCGAGATTGCTCGCGTCGAGTGGTTGCTTTCATCCGTTGACGATCCGACGCTTTTGATCATTGGAACAGATGTCTTCTCCTCACGACTGTTTTGACGTCTGTTGTGGGAGAACTTGCGGGTGGCAAGTTTGATTGAACTTTCAGAACGAGTTTTAAGAAGAAGCTCTGTAAAAGAGTTGATTTGAACGACAAGATCGGTTAATAAGGCCAAGGACGAGAGGCCTCCCTGTGTGCTGGAGGTTGAAGATGATATTCGTTGGAAGATTGATGGCACTTCTCCGTCAAAAGCCTGGTCTCCAGTAATCGATCCAAGCCAAGGAAAAATCCAACCGAGCCAGGTAGACACCCCTGAACTGAATTGATCTTCGGTTATTTATAGGAGGATTAAAGGGGGTTTTTGAAATGCCGCCCCTTAAACTCTCCTAAGGTGGGGTGTAACAGGCCGGCCAAATCGTGGGGGGGAAACGGTTTTAGGAACCGGTTCAAGCTCATTGTTGGAATGAGTCAAACGGGCCCACGTTTGGGCGTTTCAGGACCCTTAACCTCACGTCCTTACAATGATTGAGACCGATTGGTTGTTTGACTGAACATCCAAAACGCGAGGGTCGCTCACGTTTCGCTTGTTGTAACGCGGGTCCGACTCCAGCATTTTGATGTTGTGACGCGGGGTTCGACCCTGGCGTTTTGATGTTGTGACGCGGGGTTTGACCCTGGCGTTTTGATGTTGTAACGCGGGGTTCGACCCTGGCGTTTTGATGTTGTAACGCGGGTTTCGACCCTGGCGTTTTTTGATGTTGTGACGCGGGGTTCGACCCTGGCGTTTTGATATTATAACGCGGGTTCGACCTCGGCGTTTTGATGTTGATACACTGGGAGGACCTCCGCGTCTTGTCTTGAAGAGATTATCACAAAGTAATCTCTTTTGTCATAGCATTGCAAAGATCATTGTCTTGTAATCTTCGTCTTGGCTCCTTGAGAATATGAGAGTCGTCAGATTGTAACTCCCGATGTTGATTATGAAGGCTGTTGAAGTAGAGCTTCCATCAGTTGTCGTGAAGGTCGTCAGATTGTAACCTTCAGTGATCTACGTGAAAGTCTTCCAATTGTAGCCTTCTGGAAGTCGTCAGATTGTAACTTCCATCATCGGTGTTTGATGGAGGATAAACTATCTATTGTGATTTTTAGACAGCCTACACTTCTTGAATTTGTTTCACGACACTGCCTTTCGTTCCTGCTTGTAATAGGATTTTCACCATGTCAATGCATACCCCGAAAGCTTCAAAGTCGTGAACACAAGCTTCTCCTTGGATGAATATCCGTAGAGGGTAAAATACGTCTACATCCACTCGATCCAATCATCAAGCCTCTCGACGTTGATACTCCCATCATAAATATGAATCTCTACCTTGAAGTCTATCTTTAAATTCTGGTAAGAACCCTTACCCCCTTGATGCGGAATAGTTTTGACAATCTCGGCCTCCCTATCAGAATCAGATTCCTTGCCTTCTCCATTGGACTCCATAAGTTTCTTCTTACTTTTCGAAGAAGATTACTCCTTTTTGTCCTTTTCTTGGAAGATATTGACGAGCTGTGTGAGAGTCGAACTCATTGTCTCCATCTGTTTCTCCAATGTATCTAGCCTCGCTGAACTATCTCCTTCAGTCATCTTCTTCTTCCTTAATTTCTGGACTCCTTCCAATGAAATAAGGATCTCGTCTAGCTTTTTGTATTACGATCGAGTCAGGACCATACACAGGATGCCCCCTTCACAAGATCTAATAGCTCTGATACCAACTTGATACAAGTCACCGTGCGAACACCTTTGATCGCGGAATTATCAAAGGGCAAAGGTGGGTTAAGAAGAAAATAACAAGAACATAATAACAATTCAGTGGTGGCGAAGGAAAATATCTTCTCTAGATTATGAGAATAAAATAGTTTACAATCTCTCACAATCTCACTAGAATTAAAGAATAATCTCTCTCAATTCTCAAATACAATCTAATCTCTCTTGATTGCTTTCTCCCTCTTTTTTAAAACCCTAAAACAATCCCTTATATAGGTGTAACAACGTGGATGGCAAAGTGGTAAATAATCAAATCCAAACCCCACAGGAATTCGTGCAAACAGAAACCCAAACGAACCAGGAAATCGTCGATGAGTCGACTCATAAACATGCATGAGTCGACTCATGCTAAGTGAGTCGACTCATGATGAGGTGAGTCGACTCGTCAGAAACTTTCGACAAAACGGTTAGGTTTCGTGAGTCGACTCATGACAGGCATGAGTCGCTCAACCTGATGAGTCGACTCATGTACATGTATGAGTCGACTCACGGGCTGAAAACTGGATACTTCGATTCTTCGATTCGCCGTCTCGTTCCACGCTTCAACCTGCGTTCCACTGTGTTGTTTTACCCCTTTATTCTCAAGTTACCATGAGAATTATCTATCCTCAAGCTCCCATGAGGATCCCTAAGTTCCGAAGAGAAGATACACCTGTATCACTTTCTCTCAGGTTATATCGCTTCCGCGGCGTGAGGGCATGACTCTGCGTCCAACAAATAATAACCAAAGTTGCAAGCGTACAACTATAAAGTTATAGTATAGAAAAATATTGATCCCACGAGTAAGGTGTTGTAGGAGATAATCAAAATTGATTTTTAAGTTGTGTGTGTGACAATTAGGAGTAATAGAAGTGGTTGTGGAGAGATAAAGAGAATGGGTGTGACTATATGCAAATAAAATAAAAATAGATTAAGAGGGGGGAAAGAAAGATGAAGAAATAAAGGAAAATAAAATGAGGAAATAGAGTAAAATAAATTCAAGAGATAAATAAAGAAAAATCAAGAATAAAGAGAAATTTTAAGAAAATAAAAGATGGAGGATTCAATTGGAGGATTCAATTAGAGATATGAGGAATGTAGAACTGAATCAGCTAGTCAATTTCACTTAGAAATTATGAACCACTCTCTGTCTATCACGTTTTACTTAAGATTTATTGGAGGTGACGCGCTTATTTATTAGGCAAAATATGTGCTTAATTAACTGGTTTTATTTATTAGGCAAAAAATATGCTAAACAAAAACTAGCTTAGTCCAACTTTCTATATTTGCCAAATTAGGATTGTGCTAGACTTGTTTCAACTAACTAGTTTAATCAGTTTGCCAAACATGCCTTTAATCTATGTACTAAACTAGATTAAGATATGTTGGATTTGGTTCCACACCTAGGAGTGTTTTGACAATTTAGGTAATTTAAGTTGATCACCTGTTTTTTGAGTGCTGTTATTCGAGTGAAGTTTGGAATTCTATCATGGACTGGATGAAATTTAACTGGAAATCTTGCCTTTGGAGATATGTGTTGGATTGGTACTCTAAAAGGCTGAAGGGAAAGGGATTCAAACAAAAAATAAAGAGAATGGCATTTACAACAACAATCTATTGCATTTGGAGAGAGCGCAATGACAGGCTGTTTAATCAAAGAACCAAAGATCCTGTCAACCTGGTGAAGGAAATCAAGTTTGAAATGTTAACTACAGTGCTTAACAGTCCATTATCTGCCTACTGGGAAGATTTATATGGTAAACTGGTTTGAGCCTGCAGTGTGCTTTTCAGGTTGATAAGCGGAGCTATAAGGAGTTGAAGTTTGAAGACTCCCTGCAGATAATCTCTCACTTTGGTTATGTGCAGGTTTTTGTATCTGTTCTTGATTGTTTTGCTAGGTCTTGAGATTTAGCTATAGGTTTTGTTTTGTTATCTCAATTACATGATTCATGAGATTCTTGATGTACATAATTTCTACATTTTGGGGATGAATAAAAGTTTTCATTTACCAAAAAAAAAAGGATATGAAGGATTGGATTATTTCATTCATTGATCTTTTGCCAGAGGAGCTTTTGAATTCTTAATAAGCGGCATACAAAATATTTATGGCATAACACAAGCAAAAACATTTACATCAACACAGTTCATTCGTTTGTTGCCTGATATATATACAATGAGAAATTTTGTTGAATTATATATATATATATATATATATATATATATGAGAAAAATGGGTATACTTGGTACCAAGGATCCTTGGTAGTGATGTGGACACATCTTGTCCATACACACACTAGAAGATGGAGCCTCTACCAACTGCACCTAAGGTGTGGATGTATGGACCAAGATGTGTCCACATCACACCAAGGATCCTTGCGCGCCAGAGTATACCCATATTGTCTTATATATATATATACTATAATTATATATATTCTCAATGCATCGGGGAGAGCTTCAATGCTGGTTTATATATTTCTCACCAACAACTAAAATTAATTGGGAAGCTGGCGAAATTCAGTGAGCTTCCGAATAATGCATGGCTTCATACTTAGAAGTTGGGCTTGTGTTGGATTCGAATTGATCCAAAAAAATATTGGTCGCGGTTCGAGCATAACGTAGTATTTAGTGAGCATTGGATCTCACCATTGAACTTCCCGGAGCCACAACAAGCACTCTGAAAATCCTTGTATCCTAATATGGGATACCAAATTTAAGTGAATTAGCAACAGAACATAAAAGGCCTTTTCTTTTTTTGGGTCAACTTCACATAACCACCCTGAACTTTGGGGGTTTTCATATAACCCTCATGAACTTCGTGTATCTCATATAACGCTTCGGGGTGTCTCACAAAACCTTCCTGAACTTTAACTTTTTCTTAATGGACCCCCCGTATGTAATTTGCAAATAACTAAAAATCACTTGATAGATAAAAAAGTCAAAATCTAGGAGAGAGATTACATTGCCTATATAAATGACAAATGACAAAGTTCTAGAATTTTTCTCTAAAGAAAGATTTTAGTTATTTGCAAATTATAGTTAGAGGGTCCAGTGAGAAAAGGTCAAAGTTTTGGAGGGTTTTTATGAGACATGCTGAAGTTGAGAGGAGTCATGTGAGATAAACAAAATTCAAAGGAGTTATATATGAAACACTCCCCAAGTGAAGGGAACCTATTGAAATTCACCCTAATTTATAGCTAGGATGGGATTTGTGGGGTGGGGTGGGGGGCGTAGCTCTGATATCGCATGAGAGATTAAAAGACAAGAGAAAAACTGTCTCTCTTAATAATTGATAGAATTCCAATAGGTCACATGGTAAAGCCGTGTTGCACCCTCGTGGAGAGTCTGGCTTTGATTCCCTTGTACGCCAAAGACTACAAAAGTTGTAATTGTTGGTGTTATTGTTATGTGCGTCAATGACGTATTTTCCTTTAAAATTTTGATAGAAGAAATTAAGGAGACATATGCATCATCAAATATACGATATGAAATAACTAGATTATACCATACAGTATCTAATATATTTAAATCCTAAAAAAACAAGAAACAAGTAGATTCTTATGAAAATGTAAACTAGCCTCCAAAATAGTTGCATTACTACTCTACTATAATACACAAAAATGTGGTGATCATAGACACTTATATTCTCATTGTAATTCACAATAACTAGCCACACACATTTTTATGTTGTAGCACTGGAGTAGTGTAACTTTTGCAAATCTAGTGATTAGTAATCATTTTTTAATATATTTATATCTACATTCTCTTTTATCCTTCTTTCTTGAAAATGACACATGCTCTTTTATCTAGCTATCACATACAATAATAACAATAAAGCCTCTATCGCAAATGTTTGAAGTCTGCTACATGAATCATATTCTTCTACTCTGTCATATTATGGGTCATTTCCCAAGTGTTTGAGATCGGCTATCTTGTTATCGCATACTTATCATCTTTTTCTCCACATTCTTGTTTATATATAAGACTTCTATGTGCTACCATTAAAAAAAGCCTCTAAGATGTTTTAATTAATAAAAATCTTACCTAATAAAAAAGGGGTCGCCATAGCAATTGACATCAAATCATAAGCATTTCCATAAGAATACTTCATCCCTTTTAACATAGACTCGAGTTGATTCATCCGAACTTGGGCAGCCGTATTAAAATTCCTAGCCAAGCCATTCAAATTATCATTGCATTTCCCTATGGGATTTTTACTCCTCATTAGTGGAATACATCCAATATGTGAAAGTCCTATAGTCCCAAATTTTCTTGCTCCGTATATATACAATGCCTACAAAAGATTATACAATGCATGTAAGTGAAAATAAAAGTAGAAAAATGTATTTTTAAGGGTAAATTCACGAACCCCCCCAAAAATTTCAGCTCATTGTGGGATTCCACCC